GCGATCCGGTCCATTGTCCGAGGTCGCCTACTTAGATGTGGCAGCATGAGATTTTAAAGAGCCCTTTCTGAGTCTGTCTTTACTCTTACCCGTGTGCTATACTATTCCAAGTATCACCAAGTCCAGTTTACAGATGAGTAAGCTGAAGGTTCCTAGAGGAAGCTGGGGAACTTGAGATCACACCGGGGGGAGTAAACCTGAATTCAGAGCCTTTTCCCTGCATGCCCCGGGCCTGTCCCCAGCTCCCCGTCCCCCACTGCCTTTTCCGGGTCTGGGAACACGGGGCTGCTCAGTGGTGATTGCACCAGCACCCCAGCTGCTCCTAGGTTGTGAGTGAAGGCCCTATCGGAGCCCACGTGGGGACGTCTATTTCAGTAGGTCCGTGCCACAGTGGCCCTTTGACTACTGGCATTCTCCTTTGGCCAAGTTTGCCTTGTAACGGAAGCTGCATGGTGGGTGGCTCAGCTGAGGCTGGTGGAGTTGAGGTCAGGGCAGGCTGGGGAGTGGGGACGGGTCACCTGTGCCCCACAGGAGGACCAGAGCCACTGGCCCTGGCTCCTAACACATGAATCAGTAGATCCTTAAGCCAGAGGGACCCTCAAGCCTAGCCTCTGCCGAAGCGGGGGAGGGGAGGGGAGGGGAGGGGCAGGGTCTACACCTCATTCTGGAAGCTCTTCATGCTGGGAAATGTGTGCCTGGAATTGCCTGTGCAATCTGTGGAGGCAGAAGCGAGGCCGGGCAGGGGCTACTGAGGCCTTCGGTGCCCCTGTCCCTTCCCACCCCGGGCAGAGCTGGGACGCTGTGCTGAACTCACCTCATCGCTTACATCTCAGCGGCGCTACCTCGGGTAATGGACCTCCTGTCTCTGTGCCTCAGTTCCCTTGCTTTGCATGAGACAGCAATGCTTGACGTGCACAGCGGTGAAGGTAAATGAGAGAGTGTAAGAAGCGTTTGGTCCAGACTGAGAAGGATTTGGGCACCCAAAACAAGTTTTGCGGAATAGGCATTAAGATCAAGTCACGCGTTCATTCCTGCCTTTATTTATTCAGTCAACATTCAGTACACACTTGTTGTATGCTGTTGACAGCAGCAGTAGCTAACAATCTGTGAGCACTTACCAGGCGCCCCACACTGCCCTAAATATCCTACACACACATTTTACTTAGCCTCGCTGGCCCAATGAGGTGGCACTGTGAATACTGCCCTTATTTATTTATTTATTTATTTATTTATTTTTAATTTATTTTTTATGATATATTTTGTTTAATATAAAATATCTAAAATATTTCAACATGTAATCAATATGAAAATATTTTTTGACATTCATTTTCATCTCATCTAATTTCCTTTTTTTTAAGGATTTTTATTTTTTTTATTAGTTTCAGGTGTACAAACAATATGTTGATTAGACATTCATCTATGTCACAAAGGGCTCATCACAATAAGTCCAGTACCCACCTGGCACTGTACATAGTTCTTACAACATGATTGACTATATTTCCTATGCTGTACTTTACATCCTCATGACTATTTTTTTTTTCAATTACAGTTGACATTCAGTATTATTTTATATTAGTTTCAGGCGTACAACATAGTGGTTAGACATTTATGTAATTTAGGAAGTGATCCCCCCGATTAGTCCAAATACTGCCCTTATTTAACCAATGACAAAACAAAGACTGAAAGGTAAAGTGACCTGGTCAAGGTCACACAGGCTCTAAGTAGTAGAACCTAGACTAAAACCGTATCACTCTGAGGCCAGCTCTCAGCCACTACGCCAGATACTGCTGGGGGGCTCTGGAGGCAAAGGATGAGGCTTTCTGCTTTCCAGGGGCTCCCAGTGTGGACTTAGGAGCTGACCCAGGACTGCAGGGCTGACCAGGAAGGGCGGGAGGAAGCCATGAGGGTTGGGAGGGGCCATTTTTGCACGTGGATGGTTTGGTTAGGCCTCGTCTTTCCCAGGTCAGTGTTAGTCCTGGGATTTGACCACAGGATCAAACACCAATAATTGGGGTGGGCAGAAGGGGCTGGGGGTGAAGGGCTTTGGACCAGGCAGGGCTTAACCTTCACAGCAAGTCACACCCCCGAAGATGAGAAGATAGGGGCTGATCCCGACAAGATTTCCCCAAGAGTGGACCCAAATTAAGAGCGTCTCTGGTGTCCAAAACAATGCAACAGTTATGCTTTTCACTCTTCACACAGTGACAACCCCCCTCCCCCAATCCACCGTTCCCCCCACTCCCGATATCATACATATCTATTAAAACTTTGTGAGGTGTGAAAAGCGTAACAATTGCATTGTTTTGGACACCTGAAACTAATAATAACAAAAAAAAGAAAGAAAGAAAAAAAGAAAAGATTCTCTGAAGAAGCCGCCCCAAGATGTGTCCATTGAATCCTAGATTTGAAAATAATGTTTCCCTTTTTCCTGCTCTGGATTCTCTTTGTTTTCTTGCGCCCTCACCATCTTTTCCATTCGTGCTTCCCTCTCCCCGTGGTCTCTGAGAACCACTGTACTATAAATATAGCCAGTGAGTGTACCAATGAGGAGCTGGGTTCAAATCGCGGCTTTACCACATCCTGGCGTTTTGTACCAGTTGGACCTGGGATCAAAACCTGTGTGACTTCAAGCAACTTACTTAACCTCTCTGAACCACCTTTTCCACATTTCGTTTATAGAATGGAAACTGTAATCCCTATCACATATGATTGTCTTTAAATCCTTAAAATTAAATAACATTTAATTAAGTAAAAGCAGTAAGGGGAAATCCTGCTCTTGTTTTTGCAAAATGTTAGTGTTCTCCCTGCCTCCTTTCTCCCTTCTCCCTCCTTTCCTGTTATCTTTTCCTTCTCATCCATCCGCACTCCTCGGTGTCTCCTTCCTTTCTCATGTCTAATGCAGAAAAACGGCATGTAATACAATGTCACCCATGATTTATAGACACAGGAAAGTTATTATTGTATGGTCTGTGGAGGGAAAATAGATCTGTTCTTAATTTTCTAGGGCTCCGAAAGTGATAAACTATAAACACACACACACACAAACACGCACACACAGATACACACACACACACACACACACACACACACAGACACACAGATACACACACACAGACACACACACACAGATACACACACACAGACATACATACACACACAGACACACACACAGGCAGACACACACACACTTTACATATATTTGTCAGGTTACACACATCTACACACACGTACACATATACACAAGTGCACATACTTACAGCTTTGTTCGGTTTGTGTATTTGTTTTAAAGTCCTGACATTCAGAGAAACCTGCCGGGGGTTCCCTCAGTCACTCCTAACTGAAGGCAGCGCTGTCAGCCATGCCTGCGCCCTTACTCACACAGTCCCCACCCTCTGTGGAGGCGATGGGTCCTAGTTTAGTGGTCTGAGAGCCTTGCAAAAAGAACATAATAGATTTCCAATGTAGCCAGCAGGATGGCTGAGCTATTTTGGTGAACAGTGTTCTTCTTGGCCTAAACAGGTATTCTTAATCGCAGTCACCTTCCCCCCACCCCAACAAGATGTATTCAGGGTTAAATCTGTCATCCCTGTTAGGTGTTATAGGGGTGTTATCAGAAATTGTCCCTGCCTTCAGTGAAACCCTAGTCAAGGAAGATCAATCGGCCACACGGGTGTGGATGAAAGAACATAGGCCTAAGAGCTCAAAAACAAAAACCACACACACACACACACACACACA